AGGTGTGGGTGTGGGTGGGTGTGGATGTGGGTGTGGGTGTGGGTGTGTGGGTGTGGGTGGGTGTGGGTGTGGGTGTGGGTGTGTGGGTGTCGGTGTGGCGTAATAGAAGACCAACACTCACACCCACCCACACCCACACCCAGACCCACACCCACACCCTAAATATGAAATCGTGAATGATCAGAATGATCGAAGCTTTTGTTTGGAATACCAACAATAAGCTATTGAAAATAGACAAGACTCAGGTAAAAATCGATCAGCAAAAATAATTAAAAATCGGCGAACATCGAAAGCATATAATGAACTAAAAATTGCTCATAATGAAAAACAATATAAAAATCTGTTTTATCGATTTGAAATCCATTATAATTGGAATTAATCAGAGGAATTAATAGTAGAGTAGATGCAGGTGTAATATTCGTTTGTTCTTTAGGGTATAAGATAATGGAGAAAAATCTCATGAGGTCCATTCATTTCCATTCGAATGACCCAGAATGAGAATAATTCTTTCGGTTTACCTTTTCCATGTTAAAGATATTTTATGAATTAAAAATAGTATTCTTCTTGATATTGTATAAACTAGTAGTGTTTCATTTCGAACGTACATTTGTTTTATAGATATCTAGTAAAATGAAACATGTATGTCATGTAATATTAATATTGAAAATTTTCCTCTAAATATTCTAATAGATCTTGTCTGTATTATACCAAAAACGTACGGAATTCTTTCAGAAAATTTTATCAATCGATTAATTTAATTAATCCAACATCAGCAATGTGGGTCGATGAAGATGAACAAACAAAAAGCAATGATGCAGCAATAAACGAAATAGAAACAGAAGAAAATTCATCTGATGAAGATAAAGAAAAATGTCCACGTCGTACAGGATGTTCGACTTGATCTTGTTCTTGTTTTAAAAATAGTAGTGGATGTCATTCATCATGTGGTTGCAATGCAACTTGTCGAAATATGTTCAATTATCTTGAATATTTTTTTGGTAAAGATGAAAAATATTCTGCTCATCCATGTTTTGCGCAATGGCTGATGAAAACTGTAAAAAATGCCGATGCATTTCAAAGATAAAGATGAAAAATTAACTGATATTCAAAGTTTATTTGAAGTCTTATGTCGAATCAAGCAACAGATTTTTATTATTCATTTTGTCAAAATGAAGTTTGCGACAGTGGTAATGATTGGTATTGTGCTGTATGTCGAAGATGCATGAATTGGAGAGTATGGCATTGTGATAAATGTAATCGATGTATGTATTATGGAAAGGAAACAGTCAATGATCTTTGTTTGAATATATCAACGATGTGAAATTCATTTTTGTTTCTTTTATTTTTAGGTACTTTTGGTTCCAGTTTACCGTGCGAACGATGTGGAGATAGTAATAGTGATAGTAAACTTTCTGATTCTTTCTAAAACATTTATTAGTCGTTTAGATGTTGATATTGTTTTATTAGTTTTGTTTTTTATGAAAAAAACAACACATTTTCTTGTATTTATGGTAATCATGATTTTTATGTTAGATTGAAGAATAACTGAATGAATAAGATGTTTAATAAAACGATCTTTTTTCTTTGAAAGAATATTTTCTTATTCATGAGTTTATCGGCAGCAGTTGAAACTGAATAATTCTTTAGATGATAAAAAATGTTTGTATATTTCAAATAAATGAACTAAATTTTAAATTAATATATAGAATGAGTTGTCCTTGTGAATGTGTTTAAAAATGAATTTGAGTTCGATTAATAGTTGATTTCTAGTCAATACATGAACAACGTACATGGAAGATTGAAGAATAACTTGATCAAAAGTTCCGATCTTTTACTATGATGCTGATGACTTTCATATGGAAACTATCAATCATATAATTGTGTCTTACTGTCAGTAGATATGGCTTATGTGCTTGATAAAAATTTATGTAAAAACAGGGTAACAATCGGTTCCAGAATTTCTTTTTAACTATCATGATGAAAAATCAGTTATATTCATTTTTGTTTCATCAAGTTTGACTCAGTTATAATCGAAATTAATTTTAATAGTCAAGAAACTTTTGATTGACAAGGATTAAAATTGGTTAAAAAGGATATGATTATAACCGATTTTTATCCTTTTTTTGCAAATGATAACAATTCTCATCTGCAATCTCTATCCACACTCTTAATTAAGAAACAATAATAGACCCGAAATGGATAACTATATATTTAACGAAAGACATTAGTTTATTTTATTTCACTGGTTCCATGTTCTTCTTTTCGCCGTTTTCCATCAATACGATTCTGATATCAGTAAAATTTAATCGTAAGTCTTTATAGAATCTTGAATGTTTGTTTTTGCTATTTTTATCAAATGATGTGTTGTGAAATTCTTTAGAAGAATTTGGAAGTGAAATAATAAAAAAAAAACTGTTGGTGCAATTCCTACGGAATTCTTATGTGAAACACGATATACTCATTATTAGTAATTCCCTAAAAACTGGCTTTTTCTGTGTATATTAGGGCACATTTCTACGTCATTGCCTACTTTACAGTTTAGCACTTCAATAAATTCTACCCTATATACACAATCAACACTCCTTTGACACTATATTTCTTCGTCATTATAGGACGCTTGAAAAGCTACCTTTTAGTTACTATTGAGATCATCTTCGAGCTACAACATATAGCGCAATATATCTTTGCTAATTTCGTAAGAAGTAATTCTTTGGCGTGTGGGTGTTGCAAAAGAGACAACATACACGGGCACTCACACCAGCACCGACACGCAGGCCCCCACCCATACCAGCA